TTTTTTGCAAAAAAACAACAAGGAGCCCGGTGGCATCTTAAAGACTAACAGATTTATTTGGGCATAAGCATCTGAAGAAGTGAGGTGTTTTTACCCACGAAAGTTTATGCCCAAATAAATCTGTTAGTCTTTAAGGTGCCACCGGACTCCTTGTTGTTTTTGTGGATACAGACTAACATGGCTATCCCCGATACTTGACATATTTTTGGCATTCTTCTTATTCTGTCATTAGAGAGGAAAGAGAAACACTCCCAGCCTGGGGCTCATCCCAGTCCTATAACTCTAGTTATGGGATCCCACCTTCCACAAAGACATTTCCTGCCCCACCCTGCTTTGCAAGGTGATAATCTTGAAGGCATCTGTGGGAAGGGAGGGGAAAGCTGAGTTGGAGTTAAACCTTTGTTAACCAAGCACCAGGTACTGTCCCTGTCCCTGTGCCCTGTCACATGTGCTTTCCCCCAAATCTCAGATCCTTCAGACTTCCGTGTACATGTGCTAGCATATGAGACTTGTGTTGCTGAGACTGCGCTGAGAAAGAAGGTCTGCTCTAGTTGGCCAAATGATCCAAGGACTCCATTTACAAAAAACCTCCTGCTGATGGTGGGACTATAAAGATGTTTCCCTGGGCTGTGTGTTTGGTAGTTAAAAGGAAAATAGTGACGCACTCTCCCTTTTTATTTGAAAGATGTCCCGTCTGAAGATGTTCCTTCATGCACAGGACTCCCACTCTTTCCCAGCTCCCTTTCCACGCTACAAGAAGCAAGAGATTGTTTAACCCGAGACAGCTGAGTTCTTGCCTAAGCAAGAACAGATGCCTTCTCTAATTAGAAGAGGTTTAGACAAGGAAGCTTGTTTTTAAAGTTTGATCTATACAGACAGAACTATTTTTATCCCGGACGGAGAATCACCGAGTCCTTACATCTGGTTCCCACGGCAACATCTACTGCACAAGTTTATTATTTTAAAAAAATCTGATAAAAGAACAAAGAGGGTTGAATTTACCAAGAAGATTGAATTGCAATTCTATCATTAGTGGGTTTTATTTTTGTAGTGGAGGTGTGTGTGTGCGTGTGTGTGTGCGTGTGTGTGTGTGTGTGTGTGTGTGTGTGTGTGTGTGTGTGTGTGTGAGAGAGAGAGAGAGAGAGAGAGATCGCCTGTAC